GCGGGCCGGGGGTGCCCGGGGCCGGCACCCCAGGGCCCAAGCGACCCAAGCTGGAGAGGCCGGGGGGGCCAGACTGGGCCGCGCCTCCTCCCCCCACACCTCCCTTACCTGCTTCAGGCTTCCCGCGAATCAAATGTTCGCGGGAAGCAGGGGAGGGGGCGGGGACTTTGGGGAAGGGGCGGAGTTGGTGTGTGGGCGGGGCTGGGGGTGGGGCCGGGGGCTGTGGACTGTCCTCCTTTTGGAGGCTGAAAATATGGTAACCCTACTCTAAGTGTTGCAGCCTCCGGGGTTGCAGTGTCGCTCAGGTTTGGCCCCGCCCCCCTGACTTGATCAAATTTGTGTGAGTGGAGTTGTGACCTGGCTCATGGAGTTGCAATGCCGCTCACTCAGATTTGTCCTACCTGGACTTCCATCATCATGACAGCTGGGCTAAACCTGAGTGGTGCTGGGACCCCAGAGGTTGCAGTTTCTGGAGCAGGGAGGCGAGTCCAGCCAGCCCCATGGGATAGGAGCCACAAGGAGTTGCCACATGACCCTTCGAAACATTTTGGCAACCCAATTTTGAGTCCTGACCCACTGATTGAGAAACCCTGCTATAGGCTATAGTCTGTAAACCTGCCTTTATTTGTCAAACACTGTGTTCCTGCCATTCAGAAAATCATGCTGATAAATTCCCATAGATTTTTTTTTTAAATGTGTTTGCAGTTCTCTAATTGTACATGAGGTACATGATTAGCTTTTGCTTGTCATTATTACTGATGCTGTTATAAGCAGAACTGTATGCATCAGAGATTACCTGTCATGATGATGATTCCTTGTGAATGTTTCATAATGCACCAGTGAAAAACATAAGCTAATGCAGTATGAAATACAAAAGTTGTTGTTCACGGGACTAATTGTGTGGTGCAGGGGAAGAGAAGATTGCAGGTAATAGAGCTTGTGATCAAAATGTAAAAGATGCCAAGAGACACATGCAAGCACCATCATTTTAGACTAGCAGCTAACGATTTCAAATGTACAAAACGGGATGAAAGTGGAGGGGCTACTCTAACCTTTAGAGACTTGTATCAACTTAACTACGTTCCCCCTATTGTTTAGGTGACTACGGTAATTTTTTCACTTTCTGCCTTTGATTGTTATGTAGTTTTGCTGGACACTGTCAGTGTGCTTGTACTCTGAATAATGACGTTGTAAAAACCACATTTGTGGAGTACCATGTTTATTGGCTCTCACTGTCTTCTGCCTGCAATACAACAAAATAGAGGACAGACTCCCATTGACTTCAAAGTGCTTTGGATCAGGCCCCAAAGGAAAAAAAGAGCAGTAGTATGTTTAGTTTTTCAAATTTGTAATGGCAAGCAACCTTTCTCTGATCTAATTTTGTCCCAAATGATTCCTTTTGTTAACTGTTCAGATTCATAGGGTTTGGCTATACAAAGTAGGTCAGAATTATAATGGTCAACAGTCTCCCCTAGCCGTTAGTTTATTGTAAAGGAAATCTGCCCTCCCCAAGTGACATTTTTGCTGGGTTCACAGTAGGCTTGACACATTTTAATGAGTTTTGTCTAGCAGATTGCACTTCACGTCATGCTCATGTGTGGTCAGTTTCCACCACCTGTAGGCCGGATACCTAATACTGAGGAAAATATCACCCTTGCTATGGCTGAGTGACAATTTTTCAGCAAATAATAAATTCACCCCCCCAAAAAGGTTTTTTTTGGTTGCTCCAAAATGCATTGGTGAATTTGGGTCACATTTGGCAAATAGCTTCAGCCAAATAAAAAAATGAGGGGTGGGGTTTTTTTAAAAAAAACATCAAAACTGTTCATTTTGACATTTTCAAAATAGCCCTTTTTGACATTTTTGTCTGGAAAGAAATGGTTCTGCTCCCCAAATGTGAGTTCTAATCAAATTTCACTTGGAAAATGTCATTTTGCTCAACCCGAATGAAATCTTTTGTTTTTATTTCAGCCAGGGGAAAAATCTAAGCTGCAGTTGATCCAAACCAGCCTTTTTTATTTCTGTCTTTTGGCTTTGTATTCACTCAGCTCTAACAACTTGCCTATTTCTCAACAATATCAAATGCTTCTGGGAAAAATGGGGAAACACTAAGGCCTGATTGTCCAGTTCTGACTGGTTCCTTTCTAGACTGAAGAATTTGGGTGAGTTAATTTTGCTCCATTTCTGCGATGGTTTACTCATTTCATCTTATAGTACAGATGTGAGCATAAGATCTCTGAGAGCTGTCTTTGGACCTGTCTACATTACCCGCTGGATTGACCGGCCGCGATAAATCGCCCCCGCTGGATCAATCGCATCTAGTCTAGACGCGATAAATCGACCACCGAGTGCTCTCCCGTCGACTCCGGTATTCCACCAGGGTGAGAGACTGAGTTGACGGGAGAGCGTCAGCTGTCGACTTACCACAGTGAAGACAACGTAACTTAGATCTTGGATAATTCCCCTCCCCCCCTTCCCCCCTGCGTAGACCAGGCCTTAATCACCAGCCTATAAAGTCACTTTTTCTGGCCCAGTGGATATGTAATTATTTGTACAAAGTGGAATAGATCCAACAGGAGAAACTGAAAATGGCCTGCTGACTAGGGCGGGTCCCTGCTCCAAATCAGGCTGAGGTGGTAGCTGACCGTGGGTCTTCTCCATCCCGGGTGAGTGCCCTAATCACTGGGCTATTGGCCACTTTGGGGCCTGGGTGGTGTCTTTCACTCTCTCTTTAAAGATTTCAAAAATTTCTGCAAAACAAAATTGTTGTTTTCTAGCCAGCCATAGTAATGAGGAGTCTCCTCGAGTGTTACTGACTAAAATGATTTCTTCAGAATGGAAAGTTTAAAAGAGAACTGAAGCCAACTGTTACCAATGATACATTTTTTTGGCAAGAAGGCAGCGCTGAAAACAACACGTTGCTTCTCACAGCACTGCCAGTTCCTGTTAGCTGTTGTTCTCTTTACTCAGATACCATAGCTATCTGTCTCCACCACCCTGCCCCCCAAATCTGGCTACTTCAGCAACACTTCAATTCTGAGGCAAAAGTGCACTGCTTTGTTGGGATTTATTAGATGCTGCTACATGCAATAGGTAGAGCTGGGTGCTTCGAATTCCTGAAGAGTTTCCATCTGCCTATTGTGACAGACCCAGACTGGCTGGGTGCAGGAGTCTGGTAGAAGGAAAACATACTGGACACTGGATGAATAGTTTTTTCTTCCCTGAGTGACCAGGGCAGGGGCTGCCCCATAGCAGTCAGGAAGGAGCTAGAAGCAGTTAAGTCAGGCAGACTCCATAAGACACCTGGAAACAATTAAGAACTGATTAGAAGCAATTAAGGGAAACAGGCTAATCAGATCACCTGAAGCCCATTTAGAACCCTGCTGGGACTAGTTTAAAAGGAAGCCCCTTCAGAGAGGCCAGCTGGTAGGAGCTGGGAGTAAGAAGGTGTGTTGTGGGAAGACTGGGAGAAAGAAGGTGCGCGGTGAAAGAGCTGGGAGGACAAGTATGGTCAGGTACCATACCAAGGAGGGTGCTAGGAGGGGCCGTTTGGGGAAGTAGCCCAGGGAAGGGCTATAGCTCCGGTAGTATAGGAAAACTACCCATTGCGGTGCCATTAGGGTCCCTGGGCTGGAACCCGGCAAAGAGGGCAGGCCCGGATTCCCCCCAACCTCTACAAAAACGCTCCCTGAGAAGGAAGACTGGGACTGAAGTGGCCAGTCAATAGGTTTGGTGTAAGATGCCTATCATGAAGGTGGATCAGTAAGCTGTAACCCTTGCCTCTAGGAGGGGAGAGAGGCTACACTGAGGGTCACAGCAAACCTCTGAGGCAAGCCCTACCCGCCTAGAAGTGCAGGACCGCCCGAGGCAAAGCCAGAGCTCTGCCACACTATGTAAATCAGAAGAGGGTAAAATAAACTGCCTAGTAGAATGGTCTGGGCAGATCAAATACCTTCACTTGCTGAATGGAAGGAAATCCTGTCCAGTGAACTCTGAGGAATGACTCAGCCCCAGGTCAGAACATTACGGGGCTAGTAACAGCAGGACAGCAGTAATGTACCCTGGTCCAACTGCAGACTGTGATGGTAGACAGGCTTCCCCCACACTTGTGGAGTTACTCCAGGGGGAGGCATAGACCCTGATAGGGTGCAGGGAATGGGAAAAGGGCACTGGTTGTTTCCTCTTCCATCCCGGAGGATGGTCTTGGTATACGGGAGCATAGGCCTGTGTTGTGAAGGGGGAGGTGATATTCCAATTTAGATATTTTCATTGTAAAGGTCTAAATATTAAATCAGGGAGCAGACGAGAGTGGAGCAGAGCCAGAAGTGCGAGGGCAATCTGGATAATGCTCTGACATTGTGTGCAGGGGTGCTGGAACAATTTGTATAGTGGGGGCTATTGAGAGCCATAGAACCAACCTGTAAGTCCTGCAGCAGCACCCCCAGCATCCCTAGTTCCAGCACCTTTGCTTGTAGGACTTTGTAACAACAAAACAGCACAGTGGGGTGTCACAAGGGAATGAGAAAGCAGAGTAAGATCAGCAAAGATCATTGCATGTTTTGCCAGACTAGCAGTTGAGTTCGTGTGAGAAGAAACATGTGACCATCCTGGCTGGCTTCACTTGAGCAATCAGAGTCAGAAAATGACTGTCCTTGTCCTTACTAAGTAATCAACATCCTGTCCTAACAATTGCAGCCTTTCCACACCAGGGCTTTTCCCAGGGTTCTAGGATTGTTTGGATGGCAGCCCTACAGAGACAGTAGCTCCCAATCCCCAGCTCTCTAGAATCATTACTACGTTAGTCTGGTGAAGAATGTGGCCTGAAGTGAAAGAAAAAGCTAGTTTGGGGCCAAATTCTGCTCCAAGCAACCCCACTGAAATCCACATAGTTGCATGGGTGTAAACAGAGGGTAGAATTTGGCTGCATGGTGTTAAGGGGAGCATGGACTGTCCTCTGTTTACATGTTTTGTAAAGCGCCTACCACAATAGGGCTGCAGTTTCTGATTGGGGGCCCTGGATGCTTCTACAATACAAATAAATAATAATGGTGATTAATAAAATAACCAGTGTAGTGTGAAAGTCAAAAATATATAATTGCATAAGGTTACAAAATATGGATTAATGTTCACTGTTTCTATTGTCTTTTTTGTGTTTAATAATTTCCTTTTTTATTTTTTTCCAGATCACCCTATTTTTTATTGGAAGAACAGGGCCCTGGGGTAGAGGCAAAAATGTACAAAACGCCCATCTGCGTGCTACAGCTAAGCAGGGTGGTGATGAACCACAAGCTCTGGGCTGTGTTTATCATCACCTTCAAGTTCATGTCCTTTGTCTCCATAATGTTTTACTGGAAAATCACCGAGGATGCCAAAGGCAAGAGTCTGCTCTATGGCTTGCCTCTGGATGTCAAATGTCCTCGATCTGTGCCTTCTCCTCCCCCAGCTGTATCTGGCAGGCCACCTCCACCGCCCGGGGATATATTTTTTGTGGAGACCTCAGAAAAAACCAACCCAAGTTTTCTCTTTATGTGCTCTGTCGAATCAGCAGCCAGGGCTCACCCTGAGACCAAAGTCGTCATCCTTATGAAGGGCTTGGCAAACAGAAATTTCACTCTTCCAAAACACTGGGGCTTCTCCCTGCTGAGTTGCTTCCCCAATGTGGAAATCCGGCCACTGGACTTGAATGACCTTTTCTCTGGTACCCCTCTAGCTGACTGGTATTTGGTGGCCCAGCACAGATGGGAGCCTTATTTCTTACCCATACTTTCTGATGCCTGTAGAATTGCTATCATGTGGAAATTTGGGGGTATCTACTTAGACACAGACTTCATAGTCCTTAAGAACTTAAAGAACCTCACCAATGCACTTGGAACCCAGTCCAAATATGTATTGAATGGAGCTTTTCTCTCTTTTGAAGCCAAACACAAGTTCATAGAGCTTTGCATGCAGGACTATGTGGATAATTACAATGGCTGGATCTGGGGGCACCAGGGCCCACAGCTTTTAACACGTGTTTTCAAAAAATGGTGCTCGATCAGGAGTCTCCAGAGCAGTAAAAGCTGTAAAGGAGTCAGTACTCTTCCCAGAGAAGCCTTTTATCCCATCCGCTGGCAGGACTGGAAGAAGTACTTTGAAGTGGTCAGCTCTTCGGAGCTTCACAGACTCTTCAAGAACACCTACGCGGTGCATATTTGGAATAAAAAGAGCCAAGGGACAAGATTTGAGATCACCTCAAAAGCTTTACTGGCTCAGCTGCATTCCCATTACTGCCCTTCAACGTATGGGATAATGAAGAAATATTTTTGAAAGGAATTGATTGACCCACCTGTCACCTAACTGAACAAAGGAAGTAGCCAAAACTGTTCAGCCTTCCAAGCAAAAATGTACATTTGAAAGTGCTTCTATCTCTGTGAATCATCAATCACCAGGCAGTGTGATGTAGTGAAATTCAAAGATAAATGTAGGGTAGGCTGAATGTAGGTTGAACACAGGAGTTAACTAAAGACTGAGCAGTGCTTGCCTCGTTTTCCTTCCTTTCCTTACACTCGGGTCCCTTTACACTACTCTGGCTGTGTAAAGGGACCTTAAGATGGGAGTAAATGTTGCAACACTCTGGCAGCATAAAGAGGTTTTAAAGTGAGAGTAAACAGTCTTTATTCTGCCAACAGGGCATAAAGGGGCCTTAGTATAAATGAAAAGCTGGACCCAGGTCATTGGTTGATTCTTGTGAGCTCCCAAATATCTTCAAAGAAATAGTGAGGAAAGCAGAGGGAAGATAAATTGAGGAAGAAGTTAAAAGGAGGATCAGAAAAGGCAGCAAGGGAAGGGAATAAGGAAGACGAGAAAAGAAAGAAAGGGTGAATTTTTTTTTACCCTTTTTTTTTTTTCTTCTTCTTTTCCTTACTGCAGAAACCAGTAGCTGAATGGAACTTCCACATGTTCCAGCTTTTATTTTACAAACCTTTAACGGGACACTTCTGTGTGTACAAGGAGCCATGTGCTATATAGTCCTTGGTCGGTTCTTAATGGGGCAAATACCCATTGTCTCCAGCGTGAGGTTTGACTGCGTAAGGAATTCAGGGTTGGTCCAAAGGTGGGTTGTTTTTTTGTTTTTGTTTTTTTGTTTTTAAATTAAAACTTCTAAGCAGACATGGGACAAACTTTATTTTAAACGAGGGTCAGAATTAATATGCTATGAAGATGCAAGTGATGGGTGTGTCCAGATTGTGTTGCCTGTCTTCTGATTGGAGAGCTGTAAAATGTCACTTCCTTTTATTGGAATGATCTGTGGATTTATGTGTGTATACCCACTGCAACTCTCCCCACCCCTCTCCGTCACTGTAGTATCTGAGCAACTATTAATCATTTTATTCTCACAACACCACGGGAAGGCAGAGAAGTACCACTCTCCTATTTTACAGATGGACAACTGAGAGACAGAGAGATTAAGGATGAGAGTTAGTTGCCTAAATACCTCTGAGGATCTGGGCCTAAGCTCCTTGCCCAAGATCACATAGGAAATGCATGGCAGAACTGGAAGTTGAACTTAGATTTTTCTGAACCTCACTTTAGCACCGGAACTGAAAGACCCTGCTTCTTACACTTTCAAATCTTCTGTGGCATTCTGCTGCTATTTCTGGCACAGAAAGTAGCCTGGAGGTGCAGGGGTCATCTTTGAGCCCTGAATAAATGCTACTGAAAGCATCTGTGGCTCTCAGACTCTTCCTAACTGATGTGTGGGGGAGACCGTTTCTGTTGTGGAAAAAGTTGTCTTTGCAGACTCCCAGCACTGACATGAGCCCAAGGAGAGACCATAAAAGCTTTGAGACTTTTGACAGGAAATTCCAGTTTCCATAAACTCAGTGTAAAATAAATGACGAAATCCATATTTCCTTTCTTACACAACAGATTGTAGCTGTGTGCTGTTACTAATGGGATTGGGTAAGCATTACATCATCCGTGAACTACCTGCTCTGTGTGAAGGCAAAGATGAGCTGCCAACAGACCTGTCGGGGGAGTGTAGCAGTGATGGAGGGCAATGAATGGGCTGGCTTTTTGCAGCATTGAAGGGACTTGTTGCTGAAAGGGTCAGGTAGAATAAAGTGGTGATATACTTTGGAAAGGAGGGGGAAGCATTGGGCGGGAGAGAAATTTTACTGCTCCATCTCCCAGCTTTCGAACCTTCATTTGAAGCTTCTGCTGCTGCCACCACAGGGCACCTCTCCTGTCTTTAATTCACCACCCTCCCATCTGTCTGTCTCCGATCTTGAGATCTGACACTGCAAGAGACTGAACATCTCCTGTGAAGTGAAGGGGAGCTGAAAAAACTTAGAATCTCACAGGAGGCACTCAACACCTTGCATTAATGGGCTCTTACTGGTTAAATTGGATTCAACTGTAGCCTCCACAATGGGGAAAAAATGTGCCGCCTTCCTCTGTCTTGACCACCACTTCTTCCTGCTTTTTGATTCAGCTGTGAGTCTATAGCACGATTTGGAGCACAGCTGAACTGACAAAGAAGCATTAGTAGCTATAAGGGAGGCAGGCTGCCAGTTAACGCATCAGTCTCAGTGCACACACACTCTAAAACAAGATTTATAGTAAGAGGGGTCACCCAGGGCCACAGACATGTGCTGAGATGGTTGTCATGGGCGAGTGGAGCATCATCCATCTCCTACCCTGTACTCTGTAAAGGAAACCATAGTACTATAAAATATTTTAAACACCTTGTCTGAGCCTTAAACAGTTGGTTTTCTTATGAATAAAGATGGGCTTGAGCTATTAACTTCAGATCTAAAAATAAGCTTTTCTGATGTTCAGGGACAGTGGCTGATCCAGCGCTCCATTTCATGAACATGACTAATGCTGCATCCTAATAGGATGGTATCATCTGGCACTTCTGGAAAACTGCTCGAAGTCGTGATCCGACCAACACCGCTGGCTGCTCTGGCTCTATCTGACCTTCAAGTCTGCAGCTGCTTCAGGGCTTTTTCTGCTTCGCAGCTCAACCACAAGCAAGCTCAGATTTGCTCAGCTGAGCCAAGGATATGTATAAAACAAAAGACGGCCTGAAGCATAGCAGGACAAAATCTCTTTCTTTCTTTCTCTCTGTTTATTTGCAACCACCCAAATGACCCAAACAGCAGAGCAAAAGAACCCTAACCTACTATGGAACTCATCCCTCTCACTTCACAAGGCTATGAGTAGTCAGGTGTGGCTTATTTTCCCTCTAAACCTTAGGTCACGCTCTTCGTTTTACTCTCCTTTTCCTATGTGTCCTACAGTCATTTTGATCTTGTTGATTTCCTCACAGTCCCCACCCTGAGCACTTCAAAATACAGAATACACACTTTTGAAAAACAAGTGTACTTACCAAAAACCAACAATGTCTAAGAGCATAGGAACTGTGTTCTTACACAGACCATGGGGCTGCTGTACGTCAGTATCCCGTCTCCATCCACTGGAGCCAATGTTGGCTATTTCAGAGGAAGGCAAACTGTGTACCCATTGTAACTTTGCAACACTATACGCTGGGGATCTTCCTGAGCCCTACCTCATGAACATTTTATATCTGAGACATTAGCATTGATAGCCCTTGTATGTTTTTTCCAGCTTGTGTCAGTGCAGCTGCTATTCCTGTCTAGAGAAATGCAAGAAATTGCCAGGTTGGGACAGATCCCTGGTCTGGGTAGTATGGTATCCTATTTCTGGTATTTCTCTTTTACTTGGCCTCAGTCCAGCTGAGCAATGAAATGTTAGTTGAGCCAAGGACAGCCTAATGGTCAAGGCATGGACTTAATTTGGTCAGGCTGCATCACAGTGTGCACTTTATTTGGTCACACTCTTTGCCTCTGAATTTCATGTAAAATCTAGCACTGCTTATGTGAAAAAGTGCCTTTTCATAGAATGGCCAATTTCTCTGCAACTTGCAACCTGCATAAAGAGCTTTGCACTAATCCCGTGTTCTCTCCACTGCTGTAAATAGACTAGAGGTCAGTTGTTAAATTGGGAGGAAGTCCCTCTGTCCTAGTGGAACATAGGAAGTTGGGTCAGTTGTGTCCTGGCAGATTAGCTTGCAGTATGTTAGGAAAATTCTAAATTTAGGATTTGGGTGGGACATTGTTGATTCATGGCAGCTTAATATCAGGCTAAAGGAAGAGGCCAATCTAGTCTGCAGTGAAATGCATAATAAAGGCCTTTGCACATTAAGGATCATGTGCCTTGAATATCTCCATTCTGACTGCTGCCTTAGTGATCCTGATCACACAGATAAAAAGGGTGCCCAGTGGAATTCAAATGTTTCATTTGCCTGGTGTTTCCTTTTCCATTTTCAGGGAAATGAATATAGCATCTCTCTCTCACCCATGCACGAGGAAACAGACTTGAGCCAGTAGTGGTTGTATTTGAGTCATTTGCCCCTATGGTCCCACCTCAAGGGTTAAATAGATCTGGTTTTAAAAAAAAATTGGATAGAACACTTTTCTGTCATAATGCAGTTTTGACTAAATCAAAACTTTTTGCAGGAACATACAGATTTTTGACTAAATTTTGCAATGGGTAAAAGTCGAAACATTTTGTGTTCAGAGTAATTTTGATTTTTGTTTGGCTTTTGGTATTAAACATGTATGTAATATTTTAATATGGTATAAAAGTCACAACAAAATGAATTGAAATGACACTTTTGAAATGAAATGTTTTTACATTGATGAAACATTTCAAAGCTATTGAAATTAAATGTTTAGATGGTCCCAAGTTGATTTTTCTTTTTTCCCCTCTTAATTTTTGGTTCACAGGAAACTACAACATTTTGGCTTTTCGTTCTGGTTTGGAGCAATTTTTTTTGTCAGACTCTCCTGCAGAATGGAAATTGTGGCTCCCAACCAGCTCTAATAAGCTGTAATGTTGTCTGAAGCACCAGCCAAATGCAGTTCAATGTGGAAGAATCATTATCGAGAAGGGAAAGGGAAAATTTGGTTGTAGTTTTTAAAAAAAAAAAAAAAGTTCAAAAGAAGCTGGAAGAGATCCACGGTGACCTTTTGTTAGTCAGATAAGCAAGCATCTAGGTCTTTCCCTGAAGACTGTCAAAATTTAACTGGTGCTTCTGTTACTTAGCTTGCACTGAGATATGGAAACTGGTGGGAACTTCCTTTAAGCTGTAGCCAGGACTTGCACTGATAATCGAAGGTAGAGATGAATAGTTCACTGTGATCTTTTCTCATCTTTTTCATGGTACTGTCTTTACGAGGCAACCTGGGTCAGGATTTTAGCTTCTAGGCAAAGGAAGCTCCTGCAATATTGCAGCACCCTGTGGGGTGAAAAAGCTTTAAATTTTTTTTTTTTGGTATGAATAGAGACCACAGGCATCATTTTTATTGCCAGAGGTCCTAAGTAGAAATCCTGGCATATTTTAAAATCAAGAATTAGTGCTGCTGTTGTCTGGATTTATGCCATTTGATGCCTTTTCGGAGAAGATCTCTTTTAAGAAGAGGATGAAACCAAAGCAGCCTTTGGCCTTTTCCTACTGTTCAATGTTTATGGAGGGGGGCGGGGGAATAAATGTAATTTTTACCTTTTTATTTCATGTTTCTAAAAAAAAAATTTGTTGGAACTTCATGTAATAATCTGCATTAGTTAGTCTAGACAAGAAATTTTCATCTTATCACTAGAAACAACTTGATTAAATTTAGCAGTGTTGAAATAGCATTAGACTAGCTGAGTTTAAGCAATTTTTAAAATACAAATTATGGCATGCAGGCTGGATGCGTAGGCAGTTGGTAATGTCAGTGCAAAATATTCAGTTCCTGTTCTCTTTCCAGGGTTATGGTGACCATACAAAATGACTGTTTGGTAACCTATGTAAAATAAGCTTGGTGATCTTGGTCCAGAAAATGGACAGATATCCACACCATAAGAAATTGTATTGCAATTTACACTACTCTTATCAGTGAGGTCAATAATCTAGGCCCTAAATTAGCACCAACCACCCTCTTAGTCTTAATAGCGGAAAGTTTGCACTTCCATTGCCCTACCTATATTTGTGGACCTGATCCAAAGCCTGTTGAAGTCAAGGGGAGTCTTTCCAGTGACTTCAATGTTTTTTGAGTAAGGCAATGGATGAATAAAGGACCTTGTGCACCAGTACTGTCATTTTGATCCCCAAACTGACTTATTTGCAAAATGAAATATGTAGCTCCCAGGTTTGTCTTGTATCCTGTTGAGGTTTAGATAGGCAGTGAAATTGGCAGGTTTATAAACACCCAACCCTGCGCCAATATACAAATACCTGATAAGTTTTCAATTATTAAATACTAGCTCAGCTTTATTTCTATAGCTTTGTAATGGCAGTTTGTGTGTTCTATTGTTCCCGAAAGTGTATCTGATGATAAAATCATTTCCAGTATGTTCAAATCATGTTAATAATAGCAAAGTGACTGAAGTTTTACTGTGACCACACTGAATCATGAATGGAACAGATTTCATTTTTAATGTGCAAATATTAAACATGTTGTTTAAATACTAAATAGTAATGTTCTTTTAATTGTATGCAGTGGTGGTGTAGCTGTGTGTCCCAGGATATTAGAGAGACAAGATGGGTGAGATAATGTCTTTTATTGGACCAACTTCTGTAGGGGAGAGAATGACAAGCTTTCAAGTGACACAGAGCTCTTCTCAGACCTGAGGAAGAGCTCTGTGTCACTTGAAAGCTTGCCTCTCTCACCAACAGAAGTTGATCCAGTAAAAAAAAATATTACCTCACCTCCTTGTCTCTTCTTTTAATTGTTAACCCAATTTCAAGGAAGGATAGGAAGCAGTGGATCATCTGACTGTTGCTTGATTGAGGTCTTGTGGTTCTGACATTATAGACAGTGACCTTTTTAACAAGGTGAAACTGCTGCCCACGGAGGACTGAGGAAAAACCAAGTGAGGAAATATAATGGGGAAATGATCCATATCACAAATTTTGTTTACTTTTATGATGGAGCTGTATCCCTTGTCAAATTAACCCCATGTAAGCTTTAAAGGAGATGAGACCATTGCGGAGAAGCTAAATGAACTCTACACATCTGTCCTCACTGAAGAAAATGTGGGGGAGATGCACACAGCAGAGCTATGTCTTTTGGGTTGACAAATAGGGTTGCCAACTTTCTAATGGCACAAAACCGTACACCCCTGTCCCGCCCCTTCCCTGAGGCCCCATCCCTTCTCAAAGGCCTTGCCCCTGCTCACTCCATTTTTCCCCCCCCCCTCACTTTCACCAAGCTCGGGCAGGGGGTTGGGGTGCAGGGTCCCAGCAACACTTACTGTGGCTCCCAAGAAGCAGCCCCCAGCCCCCCTAGGCGCATGGGTGGCCAGGGAGGCTCTGCACGCTATCCTCATGCCCACAGGCACCATTCCCACAGCTCCCATTGGTTGCAATTCCCAGCCAATGGGAGCTGTGGAGCCAGCACTGGGGCGGGGACAGTACGCAGAACCTCCCTAGCCACCCATGCAGCCGCTTCCAAGAGCCATGTGGAGCTGGGCAGGCAAGAAGCCTATCTTAGCCATGGGCCCCCACTGCCCTGCCAACCGGACTTTTGATGGCCCGGTCATTGGTGCCAACTGAAGCCACCAGGTTCTCTTTTCAACTGGGCATTCTGGTCGAAAACTGGTCACCTGGCAACCCTAGTGACAAATCTGAAGTATTGTACCGCATTGATGTGTCAGTAGAAGAGGTTTTAGAACAAATTGATAAATTCAACAGCAATAAATCACCAGGACCAGATGGTATTCACCCAAGAGTTCTGAAGGACCTCAAATATGAAATTGCAAAGCTAGTAATAGGAGTATATAACTTATTGCTGAAATGAACCTCTGTACCAGATGATTGGAAGGTAGCTAATGCAACACCAATTTTTAAAAAATGGGCTCCAGAGGCAAACCTGGCATTTATAGGACAGTAAGCCTAACTTTAATACTGGACAAATTGGTAGAAACTATCATGGACTGGAAGGGACCTCAATAGGTCATTTAGTCAAGTTCTCTACACTCAAGGCAGGACTACATAATAACTAGACCGTTCGCGACAGGTGTTTGTCTAGCGTGTTCCTAAAAACCTCCAATGTTGGAGATTCCACAGCCTCCCTGGGCAATTTGTTCCAGTGCTTAGTTACCCTGACAGGAAGATTTTCCTAAGGTCCAATCTAAACCTCCCTTGCTGCAGTTTAAGCCCATTGATTCTTGCCTATCCTCAGAAGCTAAGGAGAACAATTTTTCATCCTCCTCCTTGTAACAATCATGTATTTACTTTTATGAACTAATTTTTTTCAATCTTTCCTCATCGGTCACGTTTTCTAGACCTTTAATCATTTTTGTGGCTCTCCTCTGGACTTTCTCCAATTTCTCCACATCTTTCCTGAAATGGTGGTGCCCAGACCTGGACACAATATTCCAGTTGAGGCCCAATCTGTGTGCAGTACAGGGCAAGAATTACGTCTCATGTCTTGCTTACAACACTCCTGTTAATATGTCCAAGAATGATGTTCGCTTAATTTGCAAGAGTGTTACACAGTAGATACTCATTTAGCTTGTGATCCACTATAGCCCCCAGCTTCCTTTTTGCAATACTCCTAGCTAGGCAGTCCTTTCCCATTTTGTATGTATGCAACCAGGGGCGGATTCATGGGGCCTGGGCTAGAGCAAGTGGGGGCTCCCTCCCCACCCATTCCACCTGTGGTCCTGCCCCTGTTCCACCCCTCCACATGTGACCCTGTCCATGGCCCTGCCCCTGTTCCACCCAGGCCCCCCCCCATTCTGCACCCCCACTGTGGCCCAAAGATGCTCTGTCCCCCTGCCGCAGCGAGGAGTGAGAACTTCCCCAACCCTAAGGCCTTAGCAGGTAGCGAAAGCTCCTCCAGTCCCAGGGCCACAGTGGGGGTCCCAGTGCTGGTGCTTTCCCTGCTGCCCCCTGGCAGATGGGGTGTGAGGCGCCAGGGGCTTCCCCTGCTGCCCCCCGGCTTCTGCTGGGGGTGGGGTCAGGGGGCACTTGGGGCTTCTGTGCCCCCCCGGCTTCTGCCAAGGACAGGGTTGGGGAGGGCAGGGGGCTTCCCTTGCTTCCTGCTGGCTTCTGCCAAGATTGGAGGGTGCTGGGGGCTTCCCCCACCACCAAGCCCACCCCACCCATCTGGCGTTGCTGCCCAGGAGCAGGGTCTGGGCGTGGGGGCTATCCCCACCCACCCGGGGCCCCTGGCCATGGGCCTTGTAGGCCCAGTGGCTAATCCGCCACTGTATGTTACTAATTGTTCCTTCCTAAGTGCAGAACTTTGCATTTGTCATTGAATTTCATCCTAGACCATTTCTCCAGTTCATCCAGATCATTTTGAATTTTAATCCTGCACTTGCAACCCCCTCTCCCAGCTTGGTATCGCCTGCAAACTTAATAATTGTATTCTATATGCCACTATCGTAATCATTAATGAAGTTATTGAACAGAACTGGACCCCGAACTGATCTCTGCAGAACCCCACTCAATATCCCTTTCTAGCTTGACTGTGAACCACTGAAAACTACTCTCTGGGAACAGTTTTCCAACCAGTTATGCACCTACCTTATAGTAGCTCCATCTAGGCTATATGTCCCTAGTTTGTTTATGAGAAGGTCATGCAAGACAGTGTCAAACACCTTACTAAAGTCATGTTATATCACATCTACTGCTTCCCTCCCATCCACAAGGCTTGTTAAGCTATCAAAGAAAGCTATCAGGTTGGTTTGACACGATTTGTTCTTGATAAATCCATGTTGACCGTTGTTACTTATCAACTTATTATCTTCTAGGTGTTTGCAAATTGATTGCTTAATTATTTGCTCCATTATCTTCCTGGTAGTTAAGATGACTGGTCGGTATTCCCCGGGTTATGCTTAATCCCCTTTTTATAGATGGGCATTATATTTGCTCTCTGCCAGTCCTCAGCAATCTCTCCCATTTTCCGTGAGTTTTCAAAGATAATCACTAATGGCTCAGATATCACCCTAGTCAGCTCCTTGGCTATTCTAGGATGTATTTCATCAGGTCCTGTCGACTTGAAGATATCTAACTTGGCTAAGTAATTTTTAACTTGTTCTTTTCTTATTCTAGCTACTGTGCAGGAGGGACATCCCACTTACACTCTGGGAGCACTAGGACACAGGTGTGAGTTTGGTGAAAAGGGACAGAAAGGAGCGAACCAGAGACTCCACCCAGTAGAAATACATAAAAACGGCCATATTGGGTCAGATCACAGGTCCATCTAGCCCAGTATCCTGCCTTCTGTCAGTGGCCAATGCCAGGTGCCCCAGAGGGAATGAACAGAACAGGTAATCATCAAGTGATCCATCCCATCGCCCACTCCCAGCTTCTGGCAAACAGAGGCTAGGGGCACTTCAGAGCATGGTAGCAAGTAACAGCCAAAGCAAGGGTCTTTGGACATTCAGAGACCTTTCTATAATTTTGACTGGACTTTCTCTGCCCTGTGCTGATTGGCTGTTTCCTCCAATCCTCTCCCACCCACTCCCTCACACACTCTTCATCTCACTTTCACTCCACAGCTGTCCCTCTTACTATGTTCTCCCCATTGTTTTCCCCCATACCACCCTTCCCTTCCATGTCCCCTCTCTGTTCCCTTTTCTTTCCATTTAGCTGATCCTCTCCTAAATATCCCCCAAAACATGCAGCTAACATGATGTTTGCCACCATCACATTGTTCACTCTACTTGTGTGTTCTACCCCTTCCCCGACTCTGTGTCTGTTTTGTCTAGTACATTATAAGATCTCCAGGACAGGGACCTCTACTACTCTTCATTGGCACCACACCTAACACACTGGGGCCCCATTCTTGGTTGGCCTTAAGCACTAATGTAATACACAAATAATAACAGTGCTTGCATAATTACAATATAAACCAGACAGCTGAGAATGCCTCTGTGGTGTCCTTTGCTCTGTTATATATGTAAGCAGAGTCTGAATGAGCTCTCCCCTGACATTTAGTGGTGAGCTGTGGAAAAAGATTTCAGGAACTGATCTCGTTTGCATGGACACACCCACCCTTCCTAGGTGCTCAGCATGTTGGGATTGCTTGCCCAAATGATCACTTGTGGCTGGTGTTGGATCCCCAGTCTTCTTGTTATTGAGGAAGCAGTAATAAAGGGTTGTTACCCTTGTGTGAACCGAGGGCAGCAGAACTGTACCTGGCATACCCCAATGGAGGGGGGACTCCTCAATTGAATGCCACTGGCTAGGCAGGGGGCATGGGTTTCAAAGCCCAGTGAGTTGAGAGAGGGTGGGGATAGGTATTTGTACTTGGTGGTGTGGGTCCTAGATACCAGTTGACCCTTCCTTTCTTCACAGTAATTTAAAAAAAAAAAAAAAAAAAAAAAAAAAGTTA